TCATGGGCGGCGGTAGTCACTTACCATCAGGTGAGCCGCATGCTCGTTTGCCCCCTCTCCTATAAAAAAAAAATCGCGATTTTGCATGGTAAGCGCGCTTAAAAAGCTACGCCCACCATGTTTCCGTGGCAAGTACAGCCTCATAATCGACGATCTCCGGTGATGCATTCTATGGGACGTCGTAGTAGTACAGACTTTTCTATCCAAGGCGTTTAGTTTAGTTTGAGTCCACCTAAGTATGCCAAAGGTATATATGAGAACAGGGATGACCCAACCGTTATATGCGTGTGACTTATTCACACCGCACAAAAGACTGTTAAGCGCTTTGGTCAAGCGTGCATAAAACACATCGCAAACAGACTGCTTCATACCCGCCTCATCGATACCGATGTTCTGTGACATACCAGATATCGGTATGTTTCAGCCTCAGAAAGGCATGTTGATGGGCATAGATAAGTTGATACCCTTAGAGTTAGCAACCCTTCCCCTTTCAACATGGAGGATCACATACTTATTCGTCCCCAGCTACATTCTAATAGAATTAGTAAAATTACAAGTGATTTTTAGAAATTCCATAAGATAGGAGCGACTCGACGCGAATAATTTGAGATCATTCACATAGAAATGGTGGGTCACTTTTGTACCTACTTTCCAAAGCTTAAAATCCCCTACCGAAGTCCTACAGTACAAAAGCAGATTGGACTCAAACAATCGCCCTGAAAGATACCCCTTGTTATCCTTATAACAATATTTCCATATAATTTAATAGATTCTGTGACACACTTTGTCTTTTTGCACCTAATAGATCATAATGTAATAAATGCTGTTATTATTTGTACGTGGTAGAGCCATGCTGCAGCTATATTAGTAGTATAGTTGTAGCACGAAAGGGTCGGCTCAACCGGGGAAGGACCACGCTCTCACAGAATAACAGTGTAAAATAGCAGCTTAACACTGCTGTGTTTCGTATGGTGAGTGTAGAGAACCGGAGACCCATTTTACTGGAAAAGAGGCATTCCATCTTAGTCCTCACGGCTGAAAACGCATCTGCATTTTAATTTGCAAACGAAGGTAAATGTAGATGTAAAACATCATAAAAAAATTACCTTGTAGTAGAATAAAGTTACAGTAGAATCGTTTACCGTGTGCAAATGTTTTAAGTTTTAGACCGATATGACTTAGAGATCATCAATAAACAAGCTTGCTCCATTTTAAAAGACCGGCAACCCATCTGAACTATTTTAGAGTTCGTGCATAAATTTCCAACTCAGCCTTGCCTTAATTTTTAAAAATTCAAAGAAAAAGATGTCATCTGCATCGATTTTTTTATTATTTATTTAACTCACCACCCTATCTTCCTGAGAACAATTCTAATTTATATAAAACTGCGTCTTCCAATCCACCTGCCAAGCACAGCAACTGTGGCAGAAATCCTCCTATGAGGTAATCTATGGAGGAGCCCTATGTTCATCTGTGCACTTATGATAGGCTGTAGTGTGGGTGAGGATAAATAATAATAAATATATAAATTTTATTTCGTTTTTAAAAAGTAAATGCCTTAAAAACTAGTAGATTGGAACCTCCATTTAAGCAAATAATGCCTGTGTTTGGAGGGTCCGCCCTTCCATTACTATATCCATGTTACAAGGCAGTATGGATAAACATATTCTATATCCATATTAATGTTATATAGTATATATTAATTTTATTCTTAGTTTATTTACTTATGTATACGTGTGTGTGTGTGTGGGTGTGGGTGTGGGTGTGTGTGTGTGTGTGTGTGTGTGTGTGTGTGTGTGTGTGTGTGTGTGTGTGTATGTGTGTGTGTTTGTTTAAGGAGGTTTTAATACAAGAAACACTCCGGGATTATGAGGCAACGTATAAGAGAAGCTAATGTTCAGCGGCGGAATTTTGATAGGTTGTAAAAAAAGCAAAGGTATTACTGGCATTTATGTGTATCAAGCATTTATTATTCAAGAATTCATTAGTTTAGTACTACTGTAGCTTTGTTCTAGTGATCGGCAACGTGACTGATGAATTTAAGGTCCTGGGATGGAATCCCGGGTCGGGTAAAATTAATAATTAAATTTTTGTGACTAGACATTCTTAATAGCAACCCGGAGTCAGGAAGTTGGCGGTGTTACATCATCATTACATGTACTTAAAGCCATTGGACATGCGCCTGATCTCTTTCCGGGCGTTTTGGATACTATCTCATCGGAATATTAGAGTGTGGGAATAGAAAATGCACAAATTCAGTCTGGAGAACCTCGTTTTAGCTCTTGTGTGGCCTATTATATATATTTAGCAGTGGACATGTATAGGGTTGTAATGATAATGATGATGACAATATGCATAAATATGTTATGTACGATATTAAACGGTTTCCATTTAAACAAAATATATCCGAATATCATTTTAAAATAAACACCCACCGACCTATATAAATTAATCTTAGACGGAAGACAGTCTACCGATAGGCAATTAAGTGATCTCCAATCGCCGGCAGTGGTTCCGGTGGCAAGGATCTAATGTTTAAATCGACCAGCTATTTCAGCCGACTCGTATTTATCTAAACCCGATGGATATTATATTTTATAAAACTGAAGTAAAAAACGAAATAACAGTTCACCTGATGGTAAGTGACTACTGCAGTCTAAGGATGCCTGCGGCCAACTTCATGCAAAGAAGTTCTCAGATGCATTGTCACTCCTAAAGAATTAGATGTATTGCCTCATAGTCTGTAATGATACTGACTCTTTATACTCTTCAGACTGGAAAAAAACAATACAGTTACTGATATTTGACAGCAGAAAGAGGTAAGAGAGTGGTGATGTAAAAGGAGTCTCCTAAGAGTCCTACCACCTAGTTAAACTAACTTTTATTTCTATCAAACTATAGGTAATGTTATGTATATTTTATATAAAAAGAGTGACAAACGAGCACACAGTTCACCTGATGGTAAAGAGAATGCCGTGGACCAGAGACATCTGCATCTACGAATCGATGTCTTATGTTCAGTGCAGTTCATTAATCAGATGCTTGGTCACTCTTAAATACTACTGGATGAAATGCCTCGTTTCTTATAAAAAGGGTTTGCGGTTCACTTATCATACAAAAACAGCAGAATTGAGCTGCTATTCACCGGTATTCTATGAGAGCGTGTCCTACCCCGGTTGGGCCGACCGATTTGTACTACAACCATATCATAACTGCAGCGTAGCTCTACGTGTCATTGTAAATGTTTTTATTAAAATAATGTAGATACATAAGGCGCTGTCGTCGTGCCACAAGTGAATCGCCACGCAAAATGCCACGGCAGCCGGCTCGGTGTATTAGTAAAAAGCTGTTCTATATATAGCGCAGTAACTTTAGAACTTTGATAGTACAATTTAGGCTTCAGTGCGTTTTGCTTGTGGCTGATGAGCCCTAACATAGTCCTATAATATGTTTTTGGTTTAGAAGCCAAAAACAATGAATATAAATTTTAACAATAAATTACTTGAGGTAAAGGCGTGATTCTTCACTGCTGACCGTATGACCTTAAGCTGAGCTCAGATAGCTATTGAGAGTACAGGTGATAGATTTATTCATGAGGATATCTGCAGTAGAATTGGTATAGCCCAACGGATCACTACCTAATTACCATCAAGTGAACTGTGTGCTCGCTTCACACACTTATGCTATAAAAACCCTGGCCAGTCAAACTCCTAGGCAGAAAAGGAATCCCACCTAATCTTACATCTCCTAATTTTACATTTCATAGAGTATCATCAAAAGATATTGTAAAATATTTTCAAACTATGGATGTTAAGAAAACTGCGGATCTGTGGGGTATTTCCGTTAAAGTTATTGCGTCTATAATAGATACAATCACGCCTCATTTAGCTATTATTTTTAATACTAGTATCTCGATCTATCGGTCTATCGAATCTGGTGCATTTCCTGATTTAATGAGGCAAAGTAAAGTAATACCTTTATTTAAATCTTGTAGTACATTAGACCCTGCCAATTTTAGACATATTTCTATACTACCAACACTTAGTAAGATTTTTGAAAAAACAATTCTTGATCAAATGTTAAATTTCTTTATTATAAATAATTTACTTCATAAAAATCAATTTGGTTTCACAAGGTATCGCTCGATAACTGATTCTGGTGTTGAGCTGATTAAATATATCTTTGATGCATGGGAGAATTCACAGGATGCTTTGGGTATATTCTGTGACCTATCCAAATCCTTCGATAGTGTTCACCATGAAACAATAATCAGGAAACTTCAACACTACGGTGTAAGAAGTGATGCTCTTAAATTAATTATTTCATATTTAAGTAAGAGAACGCAAAAAGTTGTCATTAACAGTATGAGCTCTTCCAGGTCGATGGTACAAATGGGCGTGCCTCAAGGCTCAATTCTCGGCCTCTTTCTGTTTCTTGTATACATTAATGACTTACCTTACATAGTAGGGGATAACCATGATATAGTATTATTTGCAGATGACACTTCTTTAATTTTCACATTACGTCGACAATTACTAAAATATGACGAAGTAACTAATGCTATATCTAAATAAGTAAATTGGTTCAATGTGAATAATTTTTGTTTAAAAGGCACTAAAACGAAATGTGTGAAATTCATGACTCCAAATGTCAAACAATTAAATACCAATGTAATTTTAAATGGGGAGAAGCTGAGTCTTGTAGATACCACCATTTTTCTTGGAATCACACGAGACGCGAAGCTTCAATGGAGCCCCCATATATCAAAACTGGCAAGCAGACTTAGTTCTGCAGCATATGCCGTAAAAAAGATTAGAAGTCTAACTAGTGTTGAAACAGCTAGACTAGTTTACTTTAGCTAATTCCATAGCATAATGTCGTATGGTATTTTGCTATGGGGACACGCAGCTGACATTGAAATTATATTTGTTTTACAGAAGAGGGCCATAAAAGCAATTTATGATTTAAAGCCTCAAGAGTCGCTGTGACAAAAATTTAAGGAAATGAATATATTAACTTTGGCCTCTCAATACATTTGTGAAAATGTAATCTACGTACACAAAAATAAAAGTAGTTTTACAAAAATAAGTGACATTCATTCTGTAAATACTAGAAACAGACACAAGCTAGTAGTACCAGTTACTCGACTCCATCGAGTCAGCAATTCATTAATAAAATTCCAGAAAATATACGAAATATGACCTGCTCAAAGTTCAAAAACTTTATTAAACTAAGTTTGTATGAAAATATATAAATATAATTTAAAGAATTTATGGATGATAATAACCCCTGGAAATGAGGTGATTGCTACCAAGCTATTTCTAATTTGTTGTGTTGTAAATTTGTGTAACATACATGATTGTAAGCTGTTATTTTAAAAAAAAGTCCTGCTAGGATTCTTGCTGGTTCTTCCCAGGACAGAGGTTTTTTTCCAACCAGTGGTAATTAAACAAAAGAGTGACTTTCAATAAGTATTATTTATAATCTCTATATTGAATAAAAAAGTTTCTGTTTTTGTTACCACAAAGTACTTAAATTGCTACATAAGTCTAGAGCGCTGTAATTTTGCCGCTGTAAATGCGGCTAAATTATTATAAAATCTGTCACTTTCACCCTCATTATTTTCTATTCAAATAAATGTCACAGAATCTAATCAGCAAAATGTAAAGTAATGATAATTTATGCCCTTTAGAATTTTTATGTGAAGTTGAATATATAAGTAGTCTTCAAACAAATTTAGGGTACGTTCCTTATTTCATTAGGCGGGGGCAGGGTATTTGTTGTATCTGACACGTGCTATTTGATTCGTTTTTAAGAATAAATATAGGTGTTTAGAATCGTCACAGCTAAAAAATAAGTTAATACACGCGATGAAATCCATAAAACCTAGTTTCATGTCAATGCGTAGTATTCGCGTAAATATAAAAAATCATTGTGTCTGAGAAAATATCTGACACTAATCACTATTCTGTACGGCCAATAAAACCTTTCCAGTTAATAATTTTTTTAGGATGTCCCAGTCATAATGACCAGCCCGTAGAATTCTGTAACACCGTTTTAGGGAGAATTTGCTTCAATCGTCACGCTTGACGCGAGAATTTGCGGTCACACTACAAGACGTCTCACACCTGTGGCACTGCTCCCAGTCACCAGCCTCAGTATTTTACGTCAGAATTAATATACCACCATTTACCGAATGCCATGCCATCTTTTTTACATTTTCTAATGTCGCCTCATACGACGACAATGAAGTAAACAGGGCAATGAATTCTATTACGATGTCGCGTCACGGCTATAGATTTATCTTATAAAATTAGAGTGACAAAAGAGATAAGAATACACTTTATGATAAACGGTGACTGCAGGTCAAAGCAACCTACAACCCATTTTATTCAAAGGAGTGTTTCTACACATCTGAAATTCACGTTCCACCAAGGACTAAGATGGAAAGCAATACAGTCAAATATTAATCCAATCGATTTTACACGGTAAGGCGATAATGCAGCGCGAATGCATCAGCTCAACAGGGTAGGAACACGCTCGCACAGAATATTAGCTTAAAATATCAGAATAATGATTATGGGTAATGATAATGGTGAGTGACGGGAACCAGAGTTTCGTTTTAACGGTAAAACAGGTAAAGTCGACTCCATCGAGTCAGTAATTGATTCTTGGGGCGATGTATACGCTTTTACAACAAAATTCCAGAAAATATACAAAATTTGACCGTGTCAAAGTTCAAAAACTTTATTAAACTAAGTTTGTATAAAAAGGGTTATTATAATATTAAGGAATTTATGGATGATAATAACCCCTGGAAATGAGGTGATCGCTACCAAGCTATTTCTAATTTGTTGTGTTGTTAATGTGTGTAACATACATGATTGTAAGTTGTTATTTAAAAAAAAAGTCCCGCTGGGTTTCTTGCTGGGTTTCTTGCTGGTTCTTCCCAGGACAGAGGTTTTTTTCCGAACCAGTGATAATTTAACTAAAGAGTGACTTTCAATGAGTATTATTTTTTTTTATAGGATCGGGTGACAAACGAGCACACAGTCCACCTGATGGTAAGTGGTTACTGTGACCCATAGACATCTACACATATCCTCAATAAAGACTCAAGATGCAGATGCGTTGTCACCCGTGAGGACTAAGATGGAATGCCTCTTTGCCAGTAAAAAGGGTCTCCGGTTCTCTACACTCACCATACGAAACACAGCAGCGGTAAGCTACTATTTTACGCTGGTTTTCTGTGAGAGCGTGGTCCTTCCCCGGTCGAGCCGACCCATTCGTGCTACAACCATAATATAGCTGTAACATGGCTCTACCACGTAGAAAATTTATAATCTATATTGAATAAAAAAGTTTCTGTTTCTGTTTCTGTTTCAAACTTATTTGTCCTCAAATGGATAACAAACCTACATTTTGATTCTTATTCGAGGACAGATGTAGGTCCATAATATTAATAATAATATTTCTTTTATTTCAGACCTTGATCCATAATCTGTTAGAGGACCCAGGCACTATGCTCAATGACCTCAATAGTGCCTCCCAATGGATAGGTCTTAAGATGAACATGGACAAATCAAAGATATAACGTCCATATCACACATATGCCGGTAGTTGCTGGTAGCACTATGCTCGAAGTTGATGATGAATATGTTTACCTGGGACAAATAGTCCGACTAGGTACGTCCAACTTCGACCGAGAGTTCACTCGACGGATTCAGCTCGGCTGGGCAGCATTCGGGAAATTACGGCGCATCTTCTTGTCGGGTATACCTCAACATTTGAAAACGGGACTGTACAACCAGTGCGTGTTGCCAGGTATGACCTATGGAATTGAGACGTAAGTGGCAATGGGCCGGCTATATAGCTCTAAGAACCGACAACCGCTAGGGAAAAAAGGTTCTAGAGTGGTGGCCTCGTATCGGCGAATGAAGTGTGGGGCGTCCCCCCACTAGGTGGAGTGACGACTTGGTAAGACATGCAGGAAGTCGATGGATGCAGGTGGTTCGGGACCGTGCTTTGTGGCATTCCTTTGGTGGAGGCCTATGTTCAGCAGTGGACTTGTGAAGGGTTGTAAATGAATGTAATGAATAGGGAATACTAATGAATAAATAAATAATAAATGAATAGGCATTTTTTGCGCCAAGACAGTGCGATTTACCATCTAGGGTTTCATAACCACTTGTGGTTTGTGGACAAGTACTGGCTTAAAATAAGTTAATAAGTGTGTAAGTGAAATACAGCTTGCTTATTATAAAATCTTAAAACCTTACCTTTGTCGAACCAGTGTGCCCTGTGTAGGTATATATTACGTGCGGGCGGGTATCTTTTCTCATCACGCTGGCGCAGACAGCATGTTAATTGTACCTTATCGACCCTCCCTCGACCCCGACACAATGGATTCATTTTACACTCTCACGTTAATCTTATTTGCATACTGTTTGTTAACTTGTCTGACATTTTACCTTTTTTGTGCTACCATATAAGCCATTAACTAACAGCCGAGTTACTTTTTAAAATTAATTATGATGCTATTTTTAACAGCTGAAGTCACTTGGCGAACAGTGTAGAAAGAGAAAGTCTAAATGTTTCTTGATTAAATCTGTAATGACAATATCCGCATAAGGACAAGAATAACTGATATAGTCTAGGACATCAGTAGGCTGAAGTGGCAACCGATGGAGAAGAAAGGTTCTTGAATGGCAGCCTGGAACTAGCAAGCGTTGTGTTAGACAACCCTCAACTATAGGAAACATTCGTGGAGGAAGTATAGTTTATTGTTAATCGATACGTTATACATTACGATATAACGACATTAACTGTTACGTTGTAAGTATCCAAAACAATATTTTTAAGAACTGTTAATTATTTATATAGTACATTTATTAACATAAAATAATATGCAATATTTTATTATATACAATATTATAAGCTATAATAAAAATTAAAAAAAAAAAACTAGTAATTAATTATGAAACAGTCCTACTTCCCGCGGTATCGTGCCAAGAACGCTGGCTGCGTTTCCCCGCTGAATGGCTACACTTAGTCTTTGAGCGAGAAAAGAACCAGCCCTCATAACACCAGCAGCAAAGCCCAATCACGGATGGAGTTCCTTTAGGAACTTCACCGCACGTGGACCCCACGGACAGATACTCTCTACAGCAAATGGCATAAATATGTTGTCATCCCTCAGAGACTCATATTTCCGCCACTTACTCAGTTCAGCTGCTTCTGATGCCACCCCGGCTCTAACCGGCTTGACGGCTCCGTGGCGCAGTGGCTTAGCAATCAGTTGTTGCGCAGGGGGCCGCGGGTTCGAATCCCGCACGGAACAAGTATTTGTATGGCCTACAAATAATTGTTCCGGGTCTGGATAAATGTTTGTCCTTGTGCAATTTATGTTTGTAAACTGCCTCCACGACTCAGGAGAAAATCCTAGTGTGGGGGTAACGTTTTTTTAATAAAAAAAAACGAGGTACCCCTAAGATGAGAAGCTGCCAAAGTGTCTACGCAAGTTGCATCCCACACTAAAACTTTACCGCTCTCCCAAAGGACAATACCGTCGGGTCTCTTGACATCGTCTCTAAACATTCCAGAAGGCTCTAAAACTGAAGGAACATTTATAGAGACAAGAGACCTACAAATGACATTGTTAGGGATCGCAGTGGACTGTATTATTGACTACGCTAGGGAAACTGCTTAAAGAAAAGATGGTACTGTCGAACTATACTGTATTCATACTATTTATAATGTGGCACTATTAACTACACTATACAGAGGGGAGTCTTCTTAATTTCTATGGAGTCTTGATTCTTCTTGATTTCTCTTGCTGTTTCTTCTCTTCGAGTGCCGCTTCCGAAATGAACAGCTCACAGACCGAGACGCCCTTCTTATATGTCACCAGAGAGCGTCTCGGTTCGTGAGTAGCGTCGTCCGCGATGCCGCGCGCTCATTGATCGGCGACATCGCGTGATCTGCTGCCGGCGTGCGGGGTGCGCGGGGCGCACCGGGGTGTGAAGGGGCGACGGGGCGGCGGCGTCCTCGCTGTCCGCTACATCCTCCCCCCGGCGTAGCCTGCGAGCCTAAGCTTCTCTCGGGAGGGCGTCGATCTTCCTGACGGGCCGCCGCAGCACTCCTACCTTGGTCCGGACCTCGACGTTGCGCACCACGCCGTCTGGTCCAGGAAACGTCTTCG